ATGACAAGAGATCAGGAAGACCTCCAACGAGCTCAACCCCTGAAAATGTCAAAACCTTTTGGCAACTTGTGCATGAAGATCATCGGAGAACAATTCACAATAATGTTGCCATTGTCGGTGTGTCAAACGGAATAGTCCAGGTAATCCTCACGTATGTTTTGAACATGTGCCGTGTTGCTGCCAAGTTCACCCCCAGGCTGCTGAGTCAAGAGCAGAAGGAGTACTGCATCGAAGTCTGCCAATAACTTCGTCAGCATACTGTGGATGACCCATCGTTCATGTCAAGGATCATTACCGGTGACGAAACTTAAATGTACGGGTTTCACGCAGAATTTTACATTTGCTCTTTGTTCTAACATGCTGTCTATGATGAAATAGCAGACGTGGTAACGCACGTGGTCAGAATAGCACCAGTTGCACAGCTCCCGATGTACACAGGACGATGTCTTTTGGTACCCTAACTTTTGAAGATCAGTGCTCCCTATGATCGTGCAGCCTTGTGCTGCCATCTGTTTACTTCCAACTTTCTGTGTAACCAAACAAGTGGAAGGAATGATGGTTTTAAGATATAAAGCCAGACTGAGACATTTACAGTGCATTATCGCACACATGTTGATGTACAGTATGCCACATTGCATTAAAGCAACCTAATAATTTTAATTTAGCCACCAATGCACCACAGTGAACATTTAAACAGACCTGCACCTCTTTTTTGTATCCAGCACACAGCAATACATAACATGAGCTAAAACACAGGTCCATTATGATGCATTGGAGATGGATGTTGGGGTGCTAAAATGAATTACCCCAACAAAAATGTTTGAATTTGGCTTGAAGAGCATTCTGACTCCTATGAACACCACCTGTACCCTATCTAGCAAATGCTTTTCTTGAGTTTAAAGCCAAACTCCAGCTTCAGGGCCCCTAAGTATGTCTCCAACATGATTAAAAAAGTTAAAAATCAGTACACAGCCTCTCCAGCACAGCCCACTGTGTCCTCCTCCACAACCGTGTCATCACCTTACTTACCTAGCTAAATGATGCAAAGGCACTTCCGTCACTTTCTGTATATCCAGATTGTCATTGACAAATCACTTTGGGGCACACCCTGGGCTCATAATGTAATGCTGCATAGGACACACCACAAAGTGTGCTTTGTTCTTTCTAGCTGTAAGGACCATCCGCTGCCAATGCTGGAGAAAAGAAAAAGGAACCCTTGCTGCTGCATGAGTGACTGGAAGATACCTAGATTTCCGTTATATATTCTGCACATTTTGGAAGAGGGGATCCAAGGAAGAGGAGCCCTAATCTAGAGTTGGGTTATAACTTCTTATCTGCATTCCCTATATGGACACTTTTTGGCACAATGCCCTATGGTGAGGATACCTTATAAAATATAAGTTAGCAAAAGGGAAGGGTTAAAGCTCCAACTTTTTCTGTTTGTAACTTGCTGGGGGGATTTCCTGTTAATGCCTGTCTTGGAGACATAACAGAAAGTAGGAGGAAACCTTCCTAAAGTGGGGAGTTCCCATCTTGATCATATATCACTGAAACATTTTTATCCATTGGAACATTTTTCCCTCACTTTCTGCCTCAGCAACGACGATCATGTAGACAAAAAGAGGGGCAAATCTCCCCAGCAGAGATACAGAGCCCAATGAAAATTTCCCAGAGGCTCTAACTGTTTCTGCACTTACTCTAGAAACAATTGAGTACTGTCCGTGATACTTTTTTTTATTTGCACTAACATACAATTTTGAGGACAAGCTTTCGGGGTATGTCCCCTTCTTCAAAGTCCAAACAGTACTATTACAAATCACATAGTTTAATCAGAATGTTAGAAGGAATTGAGAAGAAAAAATAAATAAATAAGTAAATAAATAAAAAAAAAGGCTACAGATAAGATACATGAAGAGCGAGAGGGGGGGGGGGGATACTACACTCACACAGAGGGGGTCAAGCTTCAGCTAATAGATAGTCATAAAGCTGTCGGATAATGGTTGAGGAATCCCATGTCCAAGTTAAGGCCGTTATCTTTTGTGTCAAATAGAATTACACTTACTCTAAAACTGAAAAAGTTTTGCCTGTACATAAACTTAAAAAGCAGTGCTACATTTTATGGTAAATGGCTTAGTCATACATTTATTGTTTTGATAACTGACTCATATGAACATAATTTACTTTAGTCTGAGCAACTAGGCATCTATGTCTAAAGGTCACAAAAAAGTTAAACACAAATGTCCAGGGTTGATCAGAAGATGGAATCACAAGGAAAAGACACGCTTTGTAAATTTTGAGGTTTGGTGCTGCCTCCTCTAACCCTGCTGCAGGTTCTGACCAGTTTTCCTCACTTTGGTAAGATGTATTTCCACTTCCTATCTTGTCACTGGGACAGGATTTGAGGGGAAATCTTCCTATCTGAGACACAGACAGCATTAAAAGTTAAACAGGAATTCAACCTTTCCTCACTCTATGCAAAACAGAAAAGACCTTGAATTAAATTGTACTTTAAAGCGGTAATAAACCACGGCAGTTAAAAAAAAATCCCCTGCAAGGCAATGGTATAATGGGCTAGTATATATACATACCCATACTACACATACTATGCATACTAGCACATTATGAACTACTCACCTTAGAACAAAGCCCTCCAGCGATGCGCTGTCACCACTGACAAAGCTTCCATCTTGACCCAGTCTTCCTCTGGGTTCGTGGGTTCCAGCAGCTTGAATGGCTGAGCCACGATGATGTCAATCCCTTATATGCATGCGGGAGCTGTGGCCATGGCACAGCTTTCTGAAGGAACGGCATGGGAATGCTTTCCTTCAGAGAGCATGCATCGGTGATGTCACCGACTGCCAAAAGAGTGAATATCTCCCAAACAGAGCACATTTAGGAGATATTTATTCTATCTACAGGTAAGCCTTATTATATGCTTACCTGTAGGTAAAAATCATCAAATAGACTTTACTACCGCTTTAAGCAATGTTTTGACTAATGAGAGATTATGCATTTATGGACTTAAAATGCTTTCAGAAATAGGTTAGCTAAGGCAAGGCAGGATATTCATCACATGACTTAATGTGAGATTTCTTTCTCCTAGGGTTTGTTGTCGTTCCGCCATAGCTCAGTGCAGGGGAAACAATTATGCGGGTTCTTTCCAAAGATGCTTTAATTACATACAAGTAGTCAATCACTGGCTTCCAATACATACCAGGTGTAAGTTCCCCACTACAGAGAACATAGTTTCTCTTGCTCTAAAATCTTACTTTGTTGGTGCTATGGGCAAAGTCACTTGTCAGTGGTATAGGTTGCAACCTCTGGACATGGATACTAGTGTAAGTAGGGTCCCAGCCTCATAGCCCCACACCTGCACACCTATATTTCCCGGCCCCTATGACTTCCCTTCACTCCTGACTGGCACCGTAAAACTCTCTACTATGACTAATATCCACAATCCTCTTACCTCACCCCCAATTGGTGGTAGCCAGGTACCTGAAAGTGTCCCGAAGTGTTTACATTCTTGGAAAACTAGAGATCTGTTCCTTGCAGGCTCTCATTGAGTATACTTTCAGTATACTATGTGATGAACTGTGATAATCACAGTTCCATTCCTTCCATGTTCTGGTTTGCTTTACATTTCTGTGCCTAGTTATATATACTTTTTTTCTGGTCCTGTTTCTCTTATTCCACCTTCCTCCTGTACTGTCCATTGATTTTTTTCCATTGGTTTCGATTAAATCATTTGTGTCCTGTTCTCTGGAACGGTTAATCTACTGTCATGCTCATCTTGTAGTTTTGACTTTTTTTTCTCTTCTGCCATTTACCGTTATCATTCAACTACCCTGTAATTCACTTCCGTTTGATGATAAACATATTTCAATAGCCGGTTAAACATCAAGTGCCAGCAGGCAGTTGTCTCTCCACTGAAGGTTCCAAAGCTATAAACGCAACAGTATGCTGCTGGCACTTCTCCACAATATAAAGTGTATTATGGGGGTCTGTTGGACATGGAGTGATTACAGCTAGTTTTCTCTCTGGGAGGAATCAGAAAAGAATGCTTGCTAAATGAGTGAGGCAGTATTTTATAAAACAACTGGTGGATGGGTACTAGGAGCTATTTCTTCCCTAGTACCTCCAACACCCATTCAGACTTAGGCTTCCCCCAACTTAGGAATGCTTCTCAATACAGACCTGTAGGTCCCTTTGGAGTGTTGGAGTTCTGACAGTGAGGAGAAGGATGAGGACATTTGGGACGGCTTCAAGGGGGAGTTTTCACTGCTACTCAATTCAATGGGAAAATCTTGTGGGGAGATACAGTATGCTGCCATTCCAAGGGGGAACACAAAGTGCCCCACTCTGAGGATGTGTAGCACAGAAGCCCTTTGCTGAATTTCCTAATAGTGGTTGGATCCACCTCCCTGTTTGCATAGGTCTAACAGCTAATGGGAAAAGGCTGATTGCCTTTCAACCAGGTAGCCTTGCTTTCATGCTTGTTGCTGAAACAGGAAAAACTGCCCTTTATATGTGGCACATCACTGTGCAGGATTGCATTACAGTAGTGTGCTCCAAAGCACTCCATATCTTCCCCCTGTTTGCCATAGCTGCCCTTACATTATTCGAAAATGTAAATCAAAGTGCTACATCACTGCTGAAAGGTCCCGACATTATTCCAATGAAGGTCAAGGAGACAATTCAAATATACCGTATTTTCCGGCGTATAAGGCGACTGGGTGTATAAGACGACCCCCTAATTTTCCAGTTAAAACATAGGTTTTGGGCTATACTCGTCGTATAAGACTACCCCCCTTCTTAGGCAACACCATTTAACCCCTAGCCTACAGGGCATTTATACCCACTCCCCCCAGGCCAATTTTCAGCTTGCAGCGCTGTCACACTTTGAATGACAATTGCGCGGTCATGCAACACTGTACCCATATGAAATAGGTGGCACTGATGAGGAGGCACTGGTAGGTGGCACTGATGGGCATTGACAGGCATCACTGATGGGCACTGAAAGGCAGCATTGATACATGGCACTGATAGGCGGCACTGACTGGCACTAATAGGTGGCACTGATTGGCAGCACTGATAGGTGGCACTGATTGGCATTGATAGGTGGCGCTGACTGGCACTGATGGGTGACACTGAAAGGCAGCTCAGATGGGCACTGATATGTGGCATTGATGTGCACTGGTAGGCACTGATATGTGGCATTGATGTGGCACTGATGGACACTGACAGCTGGCACTGCTGGGGCTACACTGATCATCAGTGCCCTGATGATCAGTGTACATGTCCCCTCCACGGAAAGCCAATTACCGGCTCTCCTCTGCTCTCCTCTGTCAGCGTGACAGCTCGAGAGGAGAGAAATGCCGATAACCAGCATTTCCCTGTTTACATGTGATCAGCTGTGATTGGACACAGCTGATCACATGACCGAGCCGACATCTTCGGCTCTTTCCGTGATCGGTGATCCGCTGTGTCCGAGGGACACAGCGCATCGCCGCGCATGCGCGGAGAATGAAAGGACATCATATGAGCCAATCACGGCAAGTGATGTATTCTATTAATGAATACAGAGCCTGCTCGGATTGGCTGCATCAGAGAGGCGGGCTGATGATGTCACAACTTCAGTCAATCCGAGCAGGCTCTGTATTCATTAATAGAATATATCGCTTGCCGTGACTGGCTCAGCGCGATACACTGTATATAGCTGAAGCTACCGTACAGTATTACCGCACATCCAGTGGTTCTATACCCGGCGTATAAGACGACCCCCAATTGTTGGGGTATGTTTTTTAAGTAAAAAAAAGTCATCTTATACGCCGGAAGATACGGTACCCCTTCATCAGCACTAGGAAAAACATATCAATACACTATCAGTACAATATATCCTCTTCAGGGTCATAGTTAAAAGCAATTACCCAACAGCCAATAGTATTGGATTTATAATAACCTCATAAGCCAGGTCACAATAAAGAGATAGCAAATATACAAGAACCTCAGACAAATGTGAGAATTTCAGTTAAAAACACACCAGTTGGGTTAAAAAATCAGTAATAAGAATGAGTCAGTAATAGGAATGAGTCATTTATTCATTAGACCCTGCTTTCTTATTTTGCCCTATTGTAAGAGGAAGGGGGGCACACAGACATAAATAATACACTGTTCATGTAACCGCTTTGATGACCAATTATATGGTACAGAGCCACTTGGATCGGCTCTGTACACAGTGTCTGTGTGCAGACACTGTGGGCTTGATTTACTAAAACTGGAGAGTGTAAAATGTGGTGCAGCTCTGCATAGAAACCAATTAGCTTCCAGGCTTTATTGTCAAAGCCTAATTGAACAAGCTGAAGTGTGAAGAAGATTGGCTACCATGCCCTGCTGCACCAGATTTTGCACCATCTAGTTTTTAGTAAATCTACCCCTGTGTGGCTGCCATGTTCCCAGACATGAGAGACATTTATAAATGGCACTCCAGAAATAGACATGTATACAATATGAAGCACCCTCCTACCAAGCTAGGGGGAGCTAGACTCCAACTGTTAGGGCTGAGTAGCAGCCTGGGTGTGAGAGCTAGCAGGGGTCAAATTGTGGTCAGAGCTTAGAGACTCTGCAGACTGGTCCTCTGGAATTTCCCCCTGCTCTAGAACTTTGGAGAAAGGTCTAGAAGCAGTGGGCAGATCTGAGGAGTGACTGATCTGTGCTCTTAGAAGGTCTTGGCCAGTCCCCAACAGGAAGCTTGGCAAAGGGCCAAGACATCCTTTAAGTATTTGGTGTTGTGATAGACATTGTTTCTGTATAATTACTGGTATAAGTCCCATTGTAGTTGTCTTGTAGTATCCATTTAGGGATGTAGCAGCAGGAGTCACAATTTCATCACCTCTCAATTATCTTCTTATCTTATCAATTATCTTATCAATTATCTTATTATTAACTTCTACTATAGAAACACATCATACTTCTTTATTTAGTGCCCAGGGGTGCCCCAGGTCTTTCACAATCCTAGCAATGCCCCTGCTCTGACAGTCTGTCTGTAGTCTATTCCTTTAACTGTTTATAATATGTGGGTAGAGATGAGCTGAGTGTTCAGCCTGACTGCTGGACAGCAGCAGTTTTGACCTAAAGTACAGCCCACACATTATAAAAGGTTCCTTTCCAAGCAACACTTTGTCAGTGTGTTTGGAGTTGAATGAGAGTGAGGGGCAGCTGACGTTGATTTTAGGGATAAAGACTTGATTAGTGTTGTGTAGAGTGCTACTACTGCTTTGTGCTTTATACAATAGAACATAGTCCATATACAGTTCTGTATTGCTGCTGTGCATTTGCTACTTATACTTTGTAGTTAGTTGCAGTGTCAGACCCTGGATCACTTTCTGGTGGCACTCTACAAGCCAGCAGATCCCAGTAATCAGTCTCCACCTGATACTAGCTGCTGGGAGGGTATTTAGACCCTCCTCTACTAGCACATCTTGCTTCAGTGTTTTCCTCTGCTAGCCAGATACTGCTTACTGTTTATCCTGACCCTGCTCATGATCTTGCTCTTGCTCTGCATCCTGTACCCTGATGCCTTGTATCGGCTCCCGTTGTTCCTGATCCCAGTCCTGGTCCCCCTCCCCCCTTCTTCCTTGCATCTCTGGTATTACGCTGCTTATCCATATCCCTCATTTTGCAAATATTGTATATAGTTTAGTTAGTTAGGCTTTCTGTTACTTAGATTGCTAGTTAGGTAGTTTGTTATATTGTTATGGTTCATTTGTATCTTTACATTTGCTGTGTTTTCTGTTTGCTGGTGTTTGGATGTCTTTTGTCTTACTATTAATAAACTTACCTTACTATATATAGTGTGGTCTCAGTTTCCTAAATCCTCATGTACACATGAACTCCCCTAGACATTTAGCTCTCCTGGCAGCGGAAAAACGCTACACACGTCAAAAACCCTTGTAAACGTGGTACTATGTTTAACTGTGTTTACCCACTTTGAGCCACGTTTAGTGCTTGGACATTTAATTATTTGATTGGCCAGAGTATTTAACATTGACATGAATAAATGCCTAAGTGCTAAACGTGGCTATTGTTTAGACACTTTTATACATGTTTTGCATGTTTTGGCCAAAACGATCCTCTCCTGAACGCGATTCTTCTGCATTCAGGAGAGGGAGGTTTAACTGCCCCTAAACTCTGCTGCTCCTGAATTCTGGTAAAAACCTATGTGTACATGGACACATAGGCTTTTATTGAGTTGAGATTAGGAGCTTTGGCAAAAAAAAAACGCAGCAGTGTACATGAGGCCTAAGTGTAGCTAGGCAGATCTGGCCATCCCTGCTGCTGATCTCTGAAATAACACTGAAGCCCACTAACGATCAGATCAGCTGCACTTGGGAACTGGAAAGTATGTGCTGTCCTTTATGTTAAGATTCATCTAGGGGACACTATTTTTCATGTGAAATTGGCTATAGAGGATAAAGAGCCTTGCCAGATTTTGCAGGATATCATTGTGAATGTTTGCTGGAATACATTAAAGCGGAGCTCCACCCAAAAGGGGAAGTTCCACTTTAAAGTCTGGTCCCCCGCTCCCCATTAACCTTCCTGGAGGTATTCCTGAGTGTTGCTCGGGGTAAAGTTTCAGCACCACAAGCGGTAACCCTGAGCTACACTCGGGAATACCTTGCAGCGTTGCTCCAGGATCTCTTCTTCACGTACCTTGTTCTGCGCTCCTGCGATGTCCCCTCCTGCAGTGTCCCCGGCAATGTCCTCCAGCCGATGCCAGCATCTGTCTTCTGGGTTCCGTTCCCTGCGATGTCAGGCCTTTTTCAAATGTGAAAAAGTGACATTCACTAAATACACTAAAATCTCATAGTAAAACATTACTGTATCAAAGCATTTCACATACATTTGTGTCCCGAGTGCTTTGTCCTGTGCCCCTACCTACATTTTTACTGTTCTTTCTGCCTGGAAACTGAGAAATGTCCATGGCGTCCCAAAAAGCGTCCCTTTAGGTCAAAAGCGGTTTTAGACCAGCTAGAGAACAGCGATAGTAAATTAGAACTACTTGCAGAATTGAGTGATAATGATTTGTGGGGAAATTCGTCATCAGACACTGAAAACGATTTTGCGACTTTGCTAAGTGATGTGCGAACTTGGCACTATATTTCAAATTTCAGTGTTTTTGATTTGATTATATTATTGAATTAAATGTATTATTATTATATTATTTTTTTTATGATTATTTATTAATCTATAATGTATGATTTCGTGTTTCAAATTTTAACATTCCCGGGATGTTTACTAGACTCTTGTTCAGACAGATTTCAGTGAGTTATTCCTAAAAATTACAGGCCTACAATAAAAAAATACATATTTCCATGTAAAAAAATGTACCACTTTGAGCACAGACATACTGACATAATCAGACTGCTAGGGAGGCTACGGATTGGCACCTTTGGGGAGCGTTTACCCGAAATTGACAGGTACCCGCTCCCACTTCCCTTTGCGATCGCCTAGACCAGGGGTAGGCAACCTGCGGCTCTCCAGCTGTTGCAGGACTACAAGTTCCATCATGCTTCTGCAAGTCATAGCTGTAACTGTCAGTTTTGTAATATTGCAATGTCTCATGGGAAATGTAGTTCCACAACAGCTAGAGAGCCACAGGTTGCCTACCCCTGGCCTAGGCGATCGGAAGCAGACATTATCCTCCCCCCTCCCTCCCTGTAGTCTTGTGGGAGATGTGACAGTTCCCAGAAGACTACGGGGCCATTCAGGAAGCGCAGCGCTACTCGAGCATGCAGTCGAAAGCTGTTACAGCCGGGTGCCCACACTGAAGATTCCGGCGCCTGTAACCCCAGAGGGCTGGTGAAACGGGCTGCAGGAAGGATACTGCGGGATCGTGGGGCAGGTAAATGGCTTTTTTTTAAAAGTCAGCAGCTACAGTTTTTGTAGCTGCTGACTTTTATTTTTTCACAGTGTGAGTGGAACTCCGCTTTAAGGTAAACATACCTTAGTTGATCAGGGCAGATTTTTTTCATTTGCAGAAATACAGCCTTTGGTTCAGGGTTGTTCTGAAATACCATGATTTAATTCCTTCCTTTAATACGCCTCAGGTCGAGTCTTTGGTATGGTTGCTGTAAGATGACACAGCTTACTTCTTTTGCACCACTCAGCTTTTTCACAAAGACTCCTGTTAGATTGTGTTACTGTCAGACTAACTTTGTTCAGCCTCTGCTCCAAGCTTGCCCCCAGTTTCCATTGATTCATGTAAATTCAAATCTGCCTTTAAACATCAAGAATCTCTTCCTTAACTCCTGTATAGCAGTACACTGCTTTCATTAACTGCACTTCCTCTGCACTTAACCCCTTGAGGGCCCTCTACTGTTCTGTGACCCATGGCAACTTCTCAGACATCTTCCTCTGATTTTGCTACCTTTTACCTCTATTCTCCCCAGTACTGGTTTTACTTTCCCACCAGCAACGCAATCTGGTTAGCACTATGCAACCACTT